TGCTGTCATGAGACCTGGATGACCTCAAGCTAATAAACATAGTGGCTGAAAAATTGAAAAATCGTCATAAAATTAATATGCAAGATTTGATGTTCGATAATGGTCCAATCGACGTCGGAAAGCAAATTATAGATATCAAATGTTTTATTTTTATAAGAGTGAGAAATTTCCAAGAGATTTCAGCCCATAAAGTGGCCATCAAATTGCAAGGTTTAAACTTCAATAATATTCCTGTATCTGTTTAATTATCTACATATATCTAATAAAAGCAGCAGACAGACGACAGCCGGACGGAAATGGGAAAACGACATTTTCCAAGGCTATTTTATGAGAATCCAGGTGTTCCTGACGTTGGAAAAAATTTTTTAGTGGAATGACATTCTTGGGAAAAACAACTTGCAACGTTATTCCAACGTTACTAAGACGTCTAACTGCAACATCTTTTCCACGTTAACAAGTAGGTATAGTAGTTTTTGCGACTTTAGACCAACGTTTTTTTTTACGTAATACAGTTTGCAGTTGCACGACATTTCCTCTGATGATAAAAATAACTTTTACCTATAGTTATACATATTCTAAAAATATCAAGTGAACTCCCCCCGCGGCCTTGATGAGGGTGTGAACAGTAAACACAAAGAAAAACGAGAAATATCAATATGAGTACAGGTGTTCGTCGTTCTAATCTTATCAAATCCATTTTCTCATCAATCTTCATTCTCATCTTCAAAACGCCGCCCTTTCCACGCGAAAAATCCCCGGTTCTCCTGTCATGGACGTACGACGAGGGTTATTAGCAAACAAATGTTTTTCTGATTGTCTCAATTGCCAAAAGCCACACGTCTTGCATTCGTAATCAGCGAAAACAATTTGTTTTTGACGGATGTTGGGCACGTTCCTCGCCTCTTCACAGAAAACTAATTTTATAGATAAGACGAGATTTTCTATCTGTGAATATTTTTCCGCTGAACGATGATTCAAGTGCAGTTGCAACTTTATCTTCGATTCGGTTTATCAGAATTAACATTCCGCACATCGTACGGGGAATTAAGTTATCCTGTGCGATAAATCAAACTTCAGCGAACATTTTTTCGGCATGACTGCGTGACGACGGTTCGAACCCCAGCAAGGTAAAAGAATTTTTTATCGCTACTATATTATTTTCGATTTCTAGTTTATTTACTCTCGTTTGCCAATCATCCTCAACCCAATTACCGCCAATTAACCGCCGCCGCCGCGCCACGTGACCTCCGATTTTTCATCCCACTTCGATAATTACGAAGCGGTAAATCGCGATAACGGCTCCATTTCCAAGAACGCAGCACTCCTCGGAGATGTGTTGATCTTCGCTGATAACGTATCAGCATCACGGCAACGCGATCGAACCCATTTCGAGTGAAAGAGCACGAAATAACGAACTTTAGTTCCGCTGGCTGGAGATGAGGGGAGATTTCATTAGAGGCAGCATCGGTCACGCAATGGTGGCAACACTGTCTTTCATAATTTCAAAGCTGCGACGGAAATGGTAAATAAAGTCGAAAATTCGTTAGGTAACGAAGACGCGTCACGGCCGGCCATCGGGGTCTTGCGTTAATTGGGAACTGTGAACGCGAAATGTTCACTTTTGGAGCGATTTTGACTTTATTCGAAAGTTTCACTAAACTTCCTTCAGCAATTATTTATATTTTCTTTATACTATCACTAAATAGTGTGTTATCTTTCCTATGTTAACACCGTTGCTAGGCAGAGATAGAAGTACTTTTATTTTTCTTTGGATTTTTCTCCAAGTGATTCTAAATCTATCGTACTTTATCAAGTTTACTCAAGACTTTAGCTATCAGCAGAATTTAGATAAACAAAACCACGCAAATTTCCCTTTGTGATTTAAGGTGCACCGTGACTCTAGATCTATATTCTCTTTCGTTATTTTTCACGTTTCTAATTCTATGTAAATTCTTCAAATTTAAAGTATGGATTTAGGCTAAAGGAGAACATGAATCTTTCAAATCCCTAAATTTTTGTGGGTGTCCAATTTCCAAACTATATTTTTGTCCGGATTTTGGCAGCAAAGTTCAAACCAGGTGATTCTAGATCTATAGAAATTTTTCAAGATTATTGTTTATACAAATTCAGCTTATTTCGTTCCTTTTTTAGTCTTGGCGACTTTATTGTTCGTGACTTGAAGCAATAAAATAAAAACCTTCTTATTCTAGATCTGTTTAGACTTTTAACAGAACTGAATAGAGATTCTAATTAAACTAAATAAACTTATCTTTAACAGTTTTTTAATTTCTTAATTTTAGATCTTATTTCTACGTTAGGAGAAATTTTTTTACAATACACGGCAGACGACAGAACCCAAACAGTTTTATTTATGAAACGTAGAGAAAATGTAAAAGTAGCTAGTCGCCCAAACAAATTTATTTTAAATCTGTTTTCCTTTATAAAAATGAGCATAATAAAGATAAAAACTGAACCAAATTCTAATTAAGTTTTTCTTGGTGTTCAATTTTGTTACTGTGAGTTCTCATGTACCGAAATTAGAAACTATAAAAACCTTATCACCTTTGATGAAACCAGTTTTCAGTCTAGAACATATCCCTTGCTGTTCAATTTTCTAACTGACATGTTTTCATAAAATAAATTTGTACAAATCTTGTAGTCTTAGACAAATTTATCATAATATCATGTTCCTCAGGTGCTCAATTTTTGCTCTTGCTATTTTTCATAGCAAAATTATAAAATACGCAGATGTTATCAATGCTGCTACTTCTTATGTAATGTGAACCTAAACGGCACGTCGTGTATTTTAAATTGATCTCAAATTTATCAAGAAAAAATGTATCAAAAAATGTTTGCTTGAGTGCTCAAATTTGAGACCGCTCTTCTTCCATTATTAGAATCATAAAATATGAAACGCTTGTGATTCTAACTCTAAATCTAAAACGTTATCGAGGTTAGCAAAACAAAGATAAAACTTAAATCAAACAAGTTTATCCTATGCGTAAGTTTTCCTTAGTGCTCAATTTTGTGACCATATTAGCGGTACTGTAACGGTAAAATAGAAACAATGCAGTTTTAGATCAGTCCAGATTTTGTCAAGCCCACAACTAACTACTACTTACTACCGGAACGTGCTTAAAAATTACAGGCAAATTTTTCATAAACGAGTTTCTCGCAAGGTTAGACTCTAGAGCCGTTATTATTCTCAAACACCACAAACGGTTATTCTTGATACATTCTAGCTTCCATGAAGTCTCTCGTAACACCAGTGGTGACAAAACAACGTAAAACAAATCCGAATTTGTTGCTAGTTGATTTTCCCCCGTGCTCAATTTCGGGATCGTCCTCCCGTGTTATACAATCACCTAGACCCGTTCGGCCGCGCTTGCATGCTTCAAGGTGCAATGTAATCCTCCTTTATCGAAGAAAAATGACACAACGAGATGTAACTTAAGTGGCATTGTGTGTTCGCGGTGTTAACAGCGATGACAATGCGCATTCAGCATCATCGTGGCTTGCGAAATTTCGGCGCTCCATCCAGGTCTGATTTCCTCGTTCGTTATCTGGGCGTCTCTTCTCAAAAATAGAATTGCAGTAATTTGTTTTGAGATAATTTCGCCGATAAAGCGTTATCCTCTTCAAATCGAAAATTGCGAGAGTGAGTGCAATAATAAGATTACTCTCGGGGGGTTATCAAGATCGATTTTGTCAACATGGAAGTGAGATGAATGGAAAAAAGTGATAAGATAAGCCGCTAGGTTTTCCCGAGGAAAACGAGCGAAACGAGCAGTAGAGATGCGGCTCTGACGCAATTAGTGGTTTCTTAGCGATTGTCCATCTCAGCCTGACACATATGTTCAGCAAATGTAGAGAAACATGGATTTCATATAATTACATAAACGCGAACGTCTGAATTATTGTTATGAGAGAGAGACCGGTGCCATACACGCTTTCTTAATTTTGAGATGGAACAACATCCAGTAGACCGCGAACGCTAGAAAACTGTTAATTTTTCATCCTGGACGGTTGATTTGCTCGAGAAAACTGTTAATTCGTGGTTGTGGGTTTGCGCGACGTTTCCAGATGGGTTTTCGGTTTTGGCATTGCGAGAAACGTTGACACACGGTCCATGTTTAATAAATATTAAACCGGCTTGCAACATTTTTGCCTAACAAGCGGATGTGTTTCGGCTAACAAGACATTTTCACTTAATTTATAATAAATGAGTGAGAGGAGCTTGAGCCTCACGTGGATTATTACTATCATTAAGTGTTTTACTTCACAATTGAGAAACTAATGCGATCAGGAAGCTCGAGTTGCGAAAACTCATCGATTTATGGATGGGTTGGTGTGGAAAATTGACGTTAGTGAAACTGGAGTGGTGGAAAAGTTGGCGGTTGCAGGGGAATTTCATAACCAGGAACATCAGAAAAGAGGATGTAAGGAAAAATAAGAAACGTCATAGATAGGAAAAACTGATATAAATGTATGTAGTGAAATAGAAACGTATCGTTGGATTAAACTAAAAGGAAGATATATTTATTTAGTGTTTCTGAACTTCCTTTGGGTTTTTTACTGAAACACAAATTATTACACAAATTACTCTCAATTTGTGTAAATAATTATTATACCAAATCGAATTTTTTGAGCGTTATACTAACTACATGTCTTACAGTACACCCCAAATTTCACGGTAATCCGTCCAGTAGTTCGGAGATTGTCTATCTTCAGTAAATCAAATTTGGGAATTTTACCATCATTCATGTTTCGTGTACCTGGTTACGTTAATAAAAACAAGAAATTAAGAGCCCCTAAGATTCTTTCACACTCTTTTAAAAACAATATAGGGGACACCAAGATTTCTTTCAAATTTTTTGTAAAATAAAATAAAAAAGTCCCCAGATTTGTTCAAATATAACAATGTCACAAATTCTTAAGATTTTGATAGTTACGTTTTGTGTATGTTTCTTAAAATTTTGTTTTTTACTTCCCGAGTGTAAACCAAGAAAGTATTAGTAATCGAGTCCATCGGGCGACTAGCCACTTTTATGTTTTCTCAACTGTAGGATACGAAAACATAGGTAGGTCTCTCATTTCCGTATGTCTGTCTGTCTGCCGTCTGTCCGCGTCTGTGTTGATTTTTTTAGACCGGACCGATTGTCGTCAAATTTTGTATGTATATTATAAATATCGTGTAGATGATGAAACACTGACCAAAATTTTTGTATATGACGTCATCTCCAACTTTTATAGTCGTAAATATGATTAAACTTTATAAAATAACATACTCCTCCAACTTGTAGTTTATGAACCTGTGTTGAGATATCCAAATTTTTGTAAAAAAAAAATAAAAATTGTATAATAAGATTTTACAATTTAACTTTGAAATTGCACAACCGATTGCTCTGAACCCTTGCAGACGTTTTAAGGTTATCGGAAACATGATAAATCCTTAATCAAAGTTTATCCATTTAAGACCCCCCTAAAAACTGATGACGTTATTTTACAATTTTGCCGAATAAAGGTTATTTAGATTTTATAAAATAACGCACTCCTGCAAGTGTGATTTATGATTCCATTGTGAGTTATTACCCTAGATATGCGAATTTTTGGAAAAAAAATCAAAATTGTTAAACATTTTGCAATTTTAACACTGAAACTGTAAAATAGTAAATAAAAAATTATCCGTTAATACCCCTTCCAAAAAAAGTTTATGACGTCATCTCAAAAATTTAGCAAATAAAACTAAAATATGTAGGTACAGTATTAAGAGTCTATACTTATCATTTCATATTTTTTTGAATTGCTTATACAAGGTGATTCAATGAAGCCACATGTTTTATTGGCCATCTCATTTTCTTAAAAACTTAAAGATACAATACTGTTAGTATTACATTGCTCCGATTCAAATTGATATACGTGTAGTTGCTAAAAAGTTGATGACGCCATCAAAAAATTTTTGTAAGGAAAAACTCACTAGGAACATTTGCATGCTTCTTTACCTGCATTTTAACAATCCACGCCTATATTAATTTTAGCACATAAGGGTCATCATGAAAAAGATCTCATAGTTAAATTTGATAGTTTTTGCAAGCTATATTTGTTCAACTTTACTTTAAGGGCAAGGGAAGTTCTGTCGAAATAACCTTCGATACATTTTTTACAATTAAAAACTGAGGAAGAATTGTAAAATTTTTAGGAAACAACTTCAAAAAATATAATTAGGATAAAAAAGTCAGGTTATGGAGACAGAGCAAAATCTTGCTAAAAATCTCACTAATTTCTAAAAATTTTTACAGCTTCCACACAAGTTTACAAATAATTTTTTTTTTTGTATTTTTATGAGATCGAAGAAGACGACTAGCTGTACGTATAATTTTATCAGCTGGAAACTTAGAATAGAAGAAAATACGCTGACAAATTAAAAAAGAGCTTGAAAAAAATTTTAGGTTCACATGAAACAAGGACACGACTTCTCAAAATTTTGATAGTTACCCTTTTTAAAAAAAATTCTGAAAGTTATTTACTTTTCACTGCATGAACGCTGTAAAAGTTTTAGGAAGTACAGCTTGAAGAAAAAGTAATCAGGATAAAAAATTCAGTTTTCAGACGACATAACACGATCTCACCGAGAATGTCAATAATTTCTGAAAATTTTCAAAACTTCTAAAAATTTGAAATGTTTTTTTTGGCGTGAAAGTAAATTCGTTATACGTATTTCACATATTGCACATACTAAATAATTCTAATATTCTTTCGCGTTAAAAAAGACACTAGGGCCATACAATTCCTTGCAACTCTTTCAAAAACTATACCGTAGGGGTTCTCGAGATTTTTTCAAATTCTTTTAAAAATAAAACACCAAAAATCCCCAAGACTTTTACAAAAATTTTATTCTGCGAATTTTATTTTTTAGTGTTAATCCCTACAGGCTAATGTGGATTATTAAACTATAAGTAACAGATTTGTTTACAATCATAATTTTATTTCCAAACATCTAGACGTTCAAGAGGAAAAATAAGGGCAGATTAATAAACCACAAATACACAAGCACGTTATTTTATAAAATTTAAATAGGATTTATTTTACCATCTATAGGATATTCCTAAAATCCACCTAACATTTCACTCGCTCGTGAAGAAAAACGAGCTTTATTCAATATCTAGCCAAAGTTAGTACTGGGACTAGTCCTGCTCTCAATTTACGCAAACGATCATACAAAAAAAGAATAATAATAACTGGGATTTTCCCGCTGTTGATTTTTGTTGTTGACATTATTCCCAGAAGTCAATATCCCAAACCCTCGCCCACGCTTCTAATCGCATCTATTTTCGCACCGGCAATATCTACGATTACGCAAACCTCTAATCCCTCATTGTCAGATCCCATAGCGCGCTCTTCCGCACCATCCGTCGGTCGTCTGATAACCCATGCGTTTTTCCTATCCGGCACGTGAGATTCGGCTGTCTATCAGTTGTTTCGGTTACAAAAGGGGTCCAGAGCACGCGCCGGTAGCAGGTGTTGCTGTGAGCTAAGGGCAGGTGGAACGAACATATGCTCTATCAGATATTCAAATGTATCGGTTAGTTTCTGTTTGTACACACATCGCCAAGATAACTACTAGAGCCAGACGCTGGCGCTGGGATAATTACGCGCTAATTGACGCCGCCACTCAGATGCGGAAGGTGCTAAGGACACTCTTGGTCTTGTTGCAGAACCACGTGAAGTCGAAATGCAAGGGGTTGTCTTCATGCCGCAGAATCCGCAGCAGGGCTCGCCGCCGCCAAATAACCCTCTAGGTGAGTTTCTGTTTTTTTTTATTTTTTAGGAGGCAATCAGCAACGGCGCTAATTAGCGTCGGGCGGTAATTGGCAGGAGAAACGGTAATTATTGGAAAATTGATCGGTTGTTAGTAGAGAGGCGCATTCGAGTTCCGCGTTATGAAATTATTTTTTTATGAAAATATATAAACTGTGGTTGTAAATCTGTTCAAGTTTATCTATTTTTACTCTTTTTATAATTAAGAATTGTAGAAAAGTTAAAAATTTTGTGACAAAGATGTCATCTATTTCTGAAAGTTCAGTTTTTAAAACTGTACAAATTTACCAAAATTTTGTAAAAGGCGAAACTTCAGCAACTTTAAAATACGTAAAGCTCGATTTTTCTCCAAGTTTGTCAGTCTATATCTGTTTTATTCACTCATAGCAAGCGAGAAGTGGATTTTTTTTTCACTTGTAAGCTTGTAACTCTATGTGTACAAGAATTGATAAAGTTATCTTTTCAAGAATTCTGCAGATAAACGCTAGATAAGTTCTTGGGAACAAAAAAATTATTATTAAAGAAATAACAGATAACTAATAGCAAAAAAATCGAGAAAGATTAAACTAAATCCACAAAGCTAGGTTTAAACCATCATAAGAAAAAGATAAGTCATAGATTTTGTGTAAACTTAAGAGCTTGAAAAACAAGATGAGTTTCCAACGAAGTCATAAAGTGATAAACTGTAAAATTAAAATTTTGATGGGCTAACAAGCAGCAAAAAATTCCCGCGAAGGTGACAATTTTAAAAACAACTTATATTACCTAAGGAGAGCTTTGAGCAAAAGTAAAAAGCAAGAAAAAAGCTTGCAACTGTGACATTTTTGTAAACTGTAAAATACACAATAATTAATTTGAAAAAACTACGACATTTGAAATTCACGAAACAATAGATTTAAAATATAATAATACAAGGTGTTTTTAGACGATTTAAAATTAGGAAAATAATAAAATATGCAAAATGATGTAAAGCAGCAACAAGCGTCACTCCTTTAACGTCAACTCTTCTAAATATAGAACAAATTTTACACCAAAACGCTCGAACTTTCCACCAGCCGCCATTAATCGCATAAAAAATCCAACTAGAAACTGAAAAACGAAATAATCACCTCTCATTCCAACGTTTCAAGGTAGTCAAGTACTAAGTCTACAACCCAATGATGTTTAATTAAAATGGAGAAAACCAGAAAAAATAGATAACGACATGTATGTCATACCGTGATAACGCCAACACAATTCTTGAATTTGATTTTTCCAGCAGAAGCACCTTTGATCAAGGTTTTCACAACGGTTATACAAGGCAGAAATCAGCACAGAGTTCGTTACTAAGTACTTTTGGCCGCAAACCTAAATTCTCCATACCCTGTGATTTCCCCACTGTTGTCTACTGCGAAGTCTGTATTTTTATAACCGTGTCAGAACCTTACAAACCGTGTAAAAACGCACGCCACGAATATATAATTATTTAATTAAACCCGATATTATACGTAAAGACAAACAGAAGACTCATCTGATAACTCCGTATTTACTTTCCAATAAATCGAGCATTTCCTTATTTTGATTAATTCCTTGACGTTATCTGCAGAAGCGGAAAACTCACAAAAATCACACAAGTAAATTTCCACCGAAACCGCAGTATCGACGTCCACGAAACACAAACTTTGACCCGGAAAGTAGGTCAGCATACAGGTGATTAATCAACAGTTTCCTATTTGGGTATTGGATTAACCATTCTAATCAAGAGCGAACTCTGGCAGCAATCGGTCGAGATAAAACCGACGCAGTTTCGTGTTTCAGAATATTTGAGAAGCTGTGTCATAACCGGTTCGGAGAAAAATCGACTGATAAGTGCGCAGATGTTATTAATAATTGTCTGAATAAACAACTATCGGGTTATGCTTGAGCAATACCTGTACATGCCAGCGATAGGGTTGGGTAGGCGGCGGCCCGGAAACGCCTCGCCGGCCCTATATTTTGTACACAAATTTGTTGATTGTCGGTCATTGCTGCATACGAAGTGTTGTCGCTACGAGTAGCGTGGAGGACTACCACTATTCACGCCGTGTTTATGATGGCTCGCGCGTGTTAATTCGGCCGCGTTATCGGCCTCGTCATATCCGAGAACAGGAACAGCGCAGTGATTAAGAAAAGTCAACAATCGAAAACACACACAGATCTCGGTCCCATTTATTTGTGTACCTGCAATGAAGTCACCTCATGATAATTCTTTGTCAGTGACATTTGTAATCGCCGAACATCATTTACTTGACCCAAATAGTGTCGGTTATTGTTTAAAAAGTACGCGTTGCGCAACTGAAATTATGGAAAACCGTCAGCGTGTCATTGGAAAATCTCGCATCTTTTTTCTTTCGCCTCGCTTTGTTTTCGTTGTTTGCTTTCGGGGCGCGGTGGGAAAAGATAAAATCTCAGCCGCTGCGACTCGGCCGTGATGTTTTGTTGTTCTTGGAGGAAACTGAGAGAGCGGAAAGACAAGTGATTATGGACCACAATGAGATATTCCGACGAAAAAACCGCAGCAGGTTTCCGACCAAATACCGGCGGATTGTTAACCTTTTAACCAAGATAAAAACAAATTATCGTGCTTTTTCATGTGAGAACTTGAGAAAATCTCGTTTTATTAGGAGGAAGGCAGTGGCGGAGACGCAGCGAAATTTCCCAGGCGAGAATAATTGAGATCTTAGTCACAACCGCGTTTTAATCCAATTTGCCAGACTACACTTAATATTCATACACACTTTTATGCAGACTGTTAAACCGTAAACTGCAAGCAACTGCAAAGCAAACTACTTTCTACCTTGACTTGCACTTTTCTTCTAACGAGATTAACATAAATCGAGAAATACGATTTTTTAGCTCGTGCCACTTGAGCACTGACGAATTTTATTTATTTTTTTACATCAAACTTAATGAAATTTAAATTTGTTTTGGTGGGGATAATCAAACAAATTTTGTTTACTATTTTAGCATCTACACGATATTTCTTACGATGCATCTAAAATTTCACAACAACCAGTCCAGTAGGGGAACGAGGGGCTTGTTGTAACAGTTTTTAGGAAAACGAATATAATTTGGTATCTATTAGCTGTTTGACCATTATAAAAGTATCTATCGGTAGTTTAACTATTCCCCTATTGGACTGAACAGGCAAAAGGTCAAAATTGTTCATCTTCACTTCACACCAGGCATTTTCTTAAAGAAAGTGCATTGTTACAACTTGCCCCGTGGTTGGGGCTAGTTGTAACAGCCATGAGACAGGTAGTACCAGTAAAAATAAAGCTGATGTTGATACATATTTAGACTTTATTTTCCAAAAATTAACACAACACTTTATTATATACAATTTTTTTTCAGTAAAACTGAAATAAACTTTTAGAAAAAGAGTTAACATTAAAAATTTGAGTGTTGTCTTCCTTTTTCTTAATATATCTGGAAAATGAAATATGGCATCGGTCAAAATTTTGGCTCGCTTTTCGTATGCTAGGTACGAGATTTGTAGAAGTGAATTTGGGATAAGTTGTAACATTTTACAACTTGCCCCAAAGCTATTGTTACAACATGCCCCGTAGCACAATTTTCTACATTTAATTACATTTCGACAAAATTATGTGGCTTAGCGTCAAAATGTGTAAGGAATATCAAAGCTGAGTAATTTTTGAGCTACATGCAAAATTAAAAGTTTTAAATTAATTAATAACTGATACGAAAATCCAAATTTTACTAAAGCAATATTTTACATTACTTGGCCAAAACAAAACACGTGCACACATCCACTTACTGCGCTGGCTCAAGGAACAGTGGTTGTGATGACATGATGTCTTATGGTGCAAGAATTAAATTCAGTAAAATACCTGACGTTAAAGAGTTTAAATTATGGGTAAAAATTTAGTGTTACAACTTACCCCTGTTACAACAAGCCCCTAGTTCCCCTAGTCTAGTCCAACGGAGATTGTCTGTCTGATAAAATTAACAACAAACGACACACAGACAGACAGACTGGCGACACAGAAACGAAACCTATTTTATCATATTTTAAGAGCTACAACTTTAGTTGCGTTAATTATTTTAATAGGTTCATATTTAGATCCTGGTTGGTTAACTAAATTTTCGGCAACATTTGCGAAATAATTGTTCAAGTCATTTGCTCTCAATGTATAGGAATTTTTACAATCTTCTGTCCTATGTTTACTAATAATTGACCACATTGCGTGTCTTATTCTTATACCTCATCCATTGTGTCCTCAATTCCGGAATTTGATATAAATATATGTTATACTTATATATCTGGGTGTACCTTCCTGCACAAGCCACCTCCGTCTCCTCGCCCGTACCTCGAATCCACCTAATCACAAAAACCCATCATTGAATGAAATCACTCATACATCTCGCTATCGCATCACGCTGTATGAAATGCACACTTCACCACAACGTTTCCGGGATATCCGCACCAATCTAAAATAAACAACTTCAAAGTAGTACCGCTTTGTTTCAACTCTGTCGTCCTGTTCCAGTTACTGGTATCACCATGGACGCCGATTCCGACCCAGCCAAAGAACTCATAACGAACCAAAGCACCCAAAGCGACTCGGGCGTCTACTCCGCCGCCAACTCCACCATGGAAACCTGCGACACCGACAACCGCAGCGACTGCAGCTCCCCTGAACGCAAGTACGTCTGTCCCATCTGCGAGACCATGCTCACATCCCAGCACGAGTTCACCCTGCACATCCGATCTCATAACAACGAAACCGAGGTGCAGGACGACAAAGGCTTTACGTGCAGGATCTGTTTGAAGGTGCTGAGTTCGAGCTCGAGCTTGGATCGACACGTGCTGGTGCACAGCGGAGAGAGGCCGTTCCATTGCAGGTACTGCGGAGATACCTTCACCACCAACGGGAACATGCACAGGCACATGAGGACGCACACGCAGAAGAGCGAGTACGAGTCGGACGCTAGCTCGGACAGCAACGTCAGCGGCAGTTCCAAAAGTACGGAGTTTAACAACAATCGGATCGAGTCGAAGAAACGAAAGCTGGAGGTGGTGGACGAGATGAATAAGAAACTAGAGAACGGAAGCGATAACGAGACGCAGCAGTTCTACAAGTGTCCGGTTTGTGACCGGAGGGATTTTGATTCGATCGTGGCCCTGGAGGCCCATTTGGAAGACAATCATCCAGATTACCCCGCCAAATGCAACCAGTGCAACCAAATCTTCCAAAATAACAAGCTTTTGACGGTCCATAAAGACACGGCACATAATCACGTCAAGAAGCAGACTGTAGCGGGATTCAAGGATCTGACGTTTGTGGATTTCTCGAGTGAGAAGTTCCCCCACATTGCGAGGTACGAGTGCGAGAAGAACCTTCACACGGCGTCAGATGGCCTAAGTTTCCAATGCAAAACCTGTACGAGGGCTTTTCCTTGTAACAGCTCTCTAGAGATTCACGAAAAAGACTGCGTACTAAACTCGTACCAAAACGGACTGGATTTAACCAAAACGACTCAACCTTCAGAGAAGGATATTCGCAGAAGCGAGTTTTTCTCACGACTGAACCTTCAAGACAACTCCCCGGAGAAGTTCGTACCGCAGATGAGCGAAACGTCGAATAAACTCAGGCAGCAGCTTTTGGCCAAAGTCATGACCAACGATACTACGAAGGATCTGGCCGACATCCAATCCATTATCTCCATGACGACAAATGGGAGTCTTTTGCACCAGCTCCAGGCCAAGAGCGACCTGAACCAGAAACCTAGTCTAGACGACAACGGTCGTACCGAACAGGAAGAAGAATCTCAAGATTTGTTTGCTTTAGAGTTCCGAAAGATGAAGCTGAGAGGAGAATTCCCGTGTCGCTTGTGCACAGCGGTTTTCCCAAATTTGAGGGCACTGAAGGGCCACAATAGGGCGCATCTTAACGGCAACAACAACGGAATGTACAGGTGCAACATGTGTCCGCACTCGTCCATCGATAAGGCGGCTTTGATCAGGCACATGCGCACTCACAACGGGGATCGGCCTTACGAATGCTCCCTTTGTAATTACGCTTTTACCACCAAAGCCAACTGTGAGAGACACCTTCGAAACAGGCACGCCAAGACTACCCGAGAAGAAGTAAAAAAAGCAATAATTTATCACCCGTCTGAAGATCCAACGAACGAAGAACTCAACAAACTCACAAGGGAAGAACGGAAGGTGCACCCTGAGGGTGAGAAGATCTGCGTCACGCCGAAACTGTCAGAGTTTGCGAAACCAGAAGTGACCCCTTTGATTCCAAACTTGCTGAAAGAAACCCTCAACGTACCCCTCAAAGAACCACCTAAAATATTCTCGAATATTAGTGATATTATCCGTAGTGAGAATCTGAAATCCCTCAAAGACCATAGATTGCAGAACGAGCTTTCTCCGTACCTACCCGCATACAATTTTTCTCCGAAATCGTCCAACGTGTCCACTCCACATCCTCCATCCAAGATCCACGTAAAGAACTTGGAAGAACTGAAAGACACGAGTTACGATAATCAGTCAGACGACGAGGAACAAGAGGAGGAACCGATGGATTTGAGCAAGAAGAAATGCGAAGAGAGAAAAAAGATTGAAGTGATACCAGAGGACTTGTCCAAAAAGGTACCACCAAATCCGTTAACAATGAGAGAAATTTTCGCCCATCAGCTTTTAAAGTCGCCACCGAAAATAGATACGGCTGCTTGGTATGCGACGTTGTACAGGAACAGCTTCCCGGGCTTTACCGGGTGGCCGGGTCTCCCTTTAAACCCATTACTGTTCCCGTCGCTACAAGCCCCTCTCCTTCCTCAAGAATCCCAAGATATGAAAGAACGCTTCCAGAGGTTCCAGCTGTGCGGAGGATCCATGATCAGCGATAACTTCGAAAGATTAAAGAACTTCCAAAATCCGGCCAACCAACCGTTCAACAACTTCAAACTAAATGACATCAAAGAAGATATGAAGAAACCCGATGAGCTAAAACCGTTGAGTTTGAACGTGGACACTTCTTACGGTGACAATTTCAAGCTGCATAGCCCCATTCCGCCACAACCCAAACCCGATTTAACCCAATCACCCAATTCCGTCAAAATGGTGATAAAAAACGGCGTTCTGATGCCGAAACAAAAACAGCGGAGATACAGAACCGAACGTCCGTTCACTTGTGAGCATTGCTCAGCGAGGTTTACTCTACGCTCGAACATGGAAAGACACATCAAGCAACAACATCCTCAGTTCTGGTCGCAAAGGCAAAGAGGACACTTGGGTAATCCAGGTAGGAAGAGCCAAATCAAGCCGAACTACTGTGATCTCAGCATACCAAACTACGAAGTACCAAAGAATCAGGATTTTGATGATACCAAAGAACCGATCGATGAGAAACTGAAGTTTGCTATTTTGGCGCAACATCTGAGGGTGAATCAGGAGTTGAAGAAGGATGACGATGACGACTGCGCTCTTGTGATCGACGAGAATGCAGACAAGATTGAGAAGACTGACGACAGTAACCAAAGATTCGAAGGGTTCGAGAGGAGTAGGATTTTGGAAGAGAAACTGAGGGAGTTGCATGCCAAACAGATGAAGAGCGAAAATAAAGTAAAGAACGAGGAGAACCAGGATTTGGTGCCGGTGTCCAGGCTTCTGGACAACGCGTCCCAACAACAATTTAAAGAGTACTTCAAGCGTGAGGGAGAAGAACCAGAAGTGGGTGCTGCTAGCGAGGAGGACGAAGAGGGACTGGTAGCAAGCGGCAGCACGAGCGAAGGGAACGTTTCGGGAACTGACGAAAACAAGTAAGTACTTGCAGACCTTGGGTTTCCAAAGTCTCTACTACTAAACCATTATCTCTATAGGTCAGAACCTGAGGCTTCCGCCCCGGTGAAGAAAAAATCCGCCTACTCCATGGCCCCCAACCGTGTGAGCTGTCCTTTCTGCAGCCGCAAGTTCCCGTGGTCTTCGTCCCTGCGTCGCCATATTTTAACCCACACGGGTCAGAAACCCTTCAAGTGCAGCCACTGCCCTCTCCTCTTCACTACGAAATCCAACTGCGATCGTCACTTGCTCAGAAAACACGGCAACAACGCCACCACTATCACTAACGACGTGGTAAACAACAATGCTAACTATCTAATGAGAAACGTCCCGGAACGACCCTTCAAGTGCTCCAATTGTCCCAGCAGCACTTTCTCCACTTATTCCAACCTCAAGAAGCACATCAGCTGCAAGCACTCCACCAACGCGCAGGGTGATGACATCAAAGCTCAAGGCTACGAAGCTGGTAGTTCCGAGGACGAGAAACTACCATCGTCCGACAACAAAACCGAGTGGGAAGCACCCAAACCCATCGAGGTACCGAACGTGGTACAAAACTCGGACTTGCCCTTCAAGTGCCACCTGTGTGATGGGTCTTTCGCGGAACGCCAGGATGCGCTAGACCACATCAAAGATAAGCATTACGCTGAGTATGATTTATTAATGTCGAAAAATGCGCTGGATAATAATGCGACGACTCCCGAAGATGGGGCTCATCACGAAGACGAAGAGAACGACATGAGGGGGAAGTTTCCGGATTATTCCAACAGAAAGGTGATTTGCGCATTCTGCATGCGTAGGTTTTGGTCAGCTGAGGATCTGCGCAGACACATGCGCACTCATACTGGTGAAAGACCCTTCAGTTGCGACATCTGCAGGAGGAGGTTCACACTGAAGCACAGTATGTTGCGTCACAGGAAGAAGCATAACGTGAACTTTGACAACGAGGTGGGGAACAGCGACGAAGATATCAACAACGCGCCGACGAACTACGAGAAGTTCGTCAGGAGCGAGAATAACAACACGCAGAAGGAGAAGACAGACGAATCGGACGGGAATGAAGGTAGCGATTTGATTAGCAACCTTTTAGGGATAAGGGATAGGTCTTTCATTGACAAGGTACTGACGGCGTCTGCCGACGACGCCGCCAAACTTCTAGGGGTAAAGAACGGGGTCAGAGAATAAATATTTATCGTAATAGTAAATTATATTTATTTATTTAACTGAGTTAGGGTGTAAATTTTGTACCTTTTTGTAAAGTAAGTTTATTTAGAGTGTAAGCACTTGATTTGTAAATTTCACACTGCGTCTAGTCAGGTTATTCCAACGAATAATGTAAAAATCAGAATGAGTATAGACTAGTTCTTGTGTATAAATTTGCGTTATAAATTAATTAATATATTTTTGTACATAACAAAATACGGTCTAGAATACCAAATAATTTCTTGTAATGAACGTTTCCGCGCGACTTTGCCGAGTCGTCCGGGAACCCGTAGGTTTTGCCTTGGACGCTCTGCACGACGCCGAGATCGCCCGATTTTGGCCTCTTGAGGGCGCCCGCACGATCGTGTGTCTTAATATTGCCTTTAGTATTAATCTCACTGTAAAGTAAGCAATATATTTGTATCAAAAATTATATATACACTTTATATATACACCCCGCGGGCTCAAAGTCCGGCGGGACTTTTGAGGGCTTGTTGCATTTGCGCGTATTTTGTATGGATTTTAGACGACACGTTTTTTATTTCTTGTTGCACTTTTTGATTAGTATTGTATTATTCACATTCACGCTGTGTCTTAAGAGTATTTAAGGCTTGGTGCGGCCTCTGCGGGAGGATCGTGCTCACTGAGCATTTTTAGCAATTTTTGAAGCAATGAGTGAATTAGTGTTACGGAGTTGATGCTTTAAAAATTTACCACGGGTTGTCATTGTCATTATGTTCTCGTTCTCCATCGATTTTAGGTATGCCATATTCCTGTAGAGTATAACGTTAAGTTAGTGTAAAACGACATATTATACTTATATTTGTTTGAATATTTCTTTATTTCAATAAATGATAATGCTCATAAGGTGTGCTTTCATTTACTACAACTTCCGTTCGACTTCCACGTCTGTAATCTGTTATTTACTAATTTCATGACCATCGGCGCACTTAAAGCAGGAAACTTTGTTTTTACATGGCCATAAAGGTTGCACTTGAAACATTTATTGTATCAATAGCACTATAATAGTAGGTAGCAGTATCGAGATCAATTAAATAATGACCCACTTTTGAAGATTTTTTTATAAGTTGAAGATTTGTAGTAAAACCTGATACAGAGGTGCACAGTTTCGAAATGATGAATTATAACAATTTGATTCTGACGATTTAATTTTTTCATTTTACAGTAAAACTGTTTTTCAGGATTAAAATTTCGTTTCAATTAGAAATACCGTTTTTGAATTAATTAATTAACTAAGTAAACTGTTGCATTAATAATTTTGATAAAGTAAATAAAAATTCAGAAAAATAATAGCGTACCTATTAAGAAACGACATGCTAATTTACATATTTTAATTGGAATTTAGTCCAGACATTTTTGAGGCGACGTCGTCAACTCTTTTGTGAATATGAATATGGAAATTGTGGGTAGCGTTTTACCATATACAGCTACACAGTAATTACGCCTAAAATTTCACAGTAATCTGTCCATTATTTGTCTAATACAATGGTCAACAGACAGACAGATTGCAAAGAGATGGACCGACGGAAATAGGAGACCGACATTTTCGTATTCTAGGAGTTCTAAAAGATCACGAAAATATCAAATTAACCGTTCGTCGAATAGACCCTATTACAATAACTTATACTCGAAAAGTAAAAAGGAAAGCCAAAACTGAGACTTTATTTTTTCCGTGTTCTGTGCTAATTACCAGTTAACGCAATCCTGTGTTAGGCACTCCAATTTCCACTACTGTTGTACTGGTTGCCAGTATCATTAACATCAGAACCATTATAATGTTGATACTGGTTTTATGGGGCCATAATGTGGAAATAAATAATATAAAAAAAGTAATTTACGTGGCTATTTTTCCATATGTCCGATTAGTGATTAGTTATTACCAAATTTTGATAAAATTTGGAGTACTTTGCTCTAAATTACACATATCATCATCAAAATCGGTTTGCCTTGGAAATTGTGAATCATCATCACATAGAGGTAGATATATATTTTTATTTACATAAATGAGCAAAATTAAATTAAATTTAGCGCTAATTTAACAAAACGTAAAGTCAATCACATTTTGATTTTAGCTTTAAAGGGTTACCAGCAGAACCTTATAAAATTAAGTCCTTTTGCACTGCTTCACATCATTGTTTTCACAACTTACTATAAAATACAAAAAGCAAAACTTAATCTGACTTTCTTTTTCCTTTTTTTTGTTGTTATTGAATGCTAATAATAATAAATAAGTACTATATACATACACGGTTATTCAGCTAAGATGACCCGTTTATGTTTTTAAAATAGGCACTCCAAAATACCAAATCCACCTGAACCTGGATTACAAAAAATCTTTCAAAATTGAATTGTATCAAAGTTAGCAGAAAATGGTACTATGCAAAGGATTAAAATTTCTTCAAAAAGATTTATTCATTCATTGATTATGTTTTTTTTTTTAATACATGTCGGAACTTTTTTACTCTGAACGGAGGAACGGAGATGTTCGTGATTAATAACACTAGTTTACAAGGTTTTATATCCAAAGACTGAAATAGTTGAATCTAAAGGATTTGGGTTCGGGAAATTTAAATCTGAAAGCAGAAAAAATCCAACACGTCAGGTTTTTGAGATATGTAGGTATATAAACATACCCTGTATTTCTTTTCTTTTATACAACTCTTGTAATTTTTTTATTTTTAAATATATATGAACATATAGTTCTTTAAGCAAATTTGTATCATTTTAAAGGATCATTTACGTAAATAAATAACATGAGTCAATTTTTCAAGCTAGATTGTCATCAATGTTTTATTTAAAATTTTTCAAGTATTGATTTTAGAATAATTGGTTGCTTTTGATTTTTCTACGGGAAGTGATAATAAAAATGTGAGGTTGCCCTCACAAAGATCTTTTGAAATGATACAAATTTGCTCAAGCTCAACGAAGATATAGGTTTATCTTTAAGAATAAAGAAGTTACAGGGGTTGTATCAAATAAAAGCAACACCCAGTATATATTATAAACAGTATGACTGAAAATTAAAAATGATTAACACTTTCTTTTATTGGCAGTACTGTCAGTTTCCCTTATAATAGACCAACAGTAACACATTTTCGTCCCAAAAACCTTGATACCTTCTTTTTAAGCATATTTGAACAGGTCTTCCAGCTTTAGGTACTATAATTTTACCACAAACGTAAGAAAACTGATTTGCACCTACTTTGCACGATCTCGAAGACATTTTTATGCGACAATGGTGCATTAACATGAATCAGTTTAACACTAACAAGAAGGTAAAGGCCAAGTTCATTATTTTGGATTTATGAAAAAACCTGACGTGATAGGGATTATCCGTTTTTGGATTTGTTATCAGTAAGTAATTTAGAAGTAGAAAATATTTTTTTTATTTTTGGATACGAAAAAAAGTTTAAATTTGTAAACTAGTGTAATTGCCATGTTCAATTTTCAACATGTCAATTTATTGTTATATAATTGACAAAATTGTAAACAACCATCGATGCATCTAGTTTAAACACAGAACAGAAACACAATAAATTATGTTTTAACTGAAGAAAAGAAGTTAAATATCTTATTTTATGCAGAAAAATCCAATGTCTTCATTATTGAATGATCAATTTCTCGTTCTAGAAAATCAAGTATGCATTTTGACGTAATATTGGTTGCATACTTCCAACGTATTCGCAGTGTATTTTAGATATGATCAGGATCTGTTGCATGTGTGTGGATTTAGTTCAAAATTAAAAAATGCCTCGGTATATAAGTAGATTAGACAACCAGTGAAACAGATGGACCACGTCAAGAGTTCAAATTACCGATCCGTCGTTATCTCACTCACACAATCACCCACCTAGTAACTTTCGTTTTCCCCCGGACACGTTGACATTCCCATTGTTGACGTTTCACTATTTTGACGTTTTTAGGTTACCTCTTAAGTTAAATTTTGTAAATTATTCGAAAATGGCACGTAATAGTTATAATTTACTAGAATTAGACGTCGACAAACTATTCGAAGACCACAAAATTGAAGAAATCATCGAAATCGAGAAACTGCTAGATGCCGAAATCGAGAGAAAAAGGGTGGAACTGAGATCAATGGTCGGGTGAGTTTTGCAGCAATTTTTCAAACGTAGAGCCACCGGTGAATTTTTGTTTGACAGAGACCGCTACAAGGATGTCTTAGCCGCCTCCGACGCTATCAAAAACATGAAAACCATTTCACAGCAAATCGTAGACAACATCCAAACTATCACGGACGTTTGCGAGGGGTTGATTACGAAGAACGAAGACAAAGAGGTGGAGGACGAGGTTAAGGTGGACAGGTGAGAAAGGGAGACGGAAAACGAGTGGAAATTAATAAAAGTGGTGTCGTAGTAAGCAAGATGAGCAGAGGGAATTGATTGTTTTAGTACGGTTGGCGGTTTTTATGAACGATCAGATATGGACAGCGCTGGACAAGGGCGACAATTTAACGGCGGCGCAGTTTTACCTGCTGGCACAACATATCCACATGGGTAGAACTGTCACGATTTTTTTATTTCCAATAAAATGATTCTGTTGTAGGTTTAAACTTGACTAAGAAAGAATATTTAGAAAAGTTGCCTCTTTTGAAACAAATTGGAGCCAACTTGCAAACTTTAAGGGATTTGATTTTCAACAGGATTAAAATGAAATTAGAATTTGTTGAAATTACAGCAGAGGTATGTACGACGTCATTAGTTTGTGGAAGGGATGAATACATATTTTTTTAGGAAACCAGTAGTAACCTGAACGCCCTACTCCTTCTTAAGAACCAAAGCACAAGTGAACTTTTGAATATTTTCATAGCTCACCGGAAAACCACCCTTAATTCAGTTATGAACACCTCTCATTCCAGTGTTCGTGTACAAGTCAGTGCAATGGTGAAGTGTCTCATTACTACCATACATCTACTACACGACTGCTTTGTGTGTAAGTGTGGGCACATAAAAATTGAACACCCCTTTATTAAGTTTGAACTAGGTTATGGGGACAGTAAAAAAGGTCTAATTTGGCAGCAACTACAGAACATAGTTGAGGACTCTTCAATCCCAACCTTGTCAAAAATTGAATTACCTGTAACACCACTGTTAATATACATACCCGACATAGTGAAACAATTCCGACCCAAGTACAAAAGTAACATTGAAGCACCCACAAAAGACAAAATTGGGTTAGAAGACTGGTTAGAAGCGACCAAAACGTCGATTAAAAGTGGTCTCGAACAGTCTTTGAAACTGGTGACTAACGTTAAAGGGTTGCATATAATTAGAGAAGAAGCTTTAAAAATAGGTAACTCATTTTGTTACTAAAACTTAAAGCTATGCCTACTTTTTAAGAATTACCAAACCAATGGGAGCGAATATGTTCTGAATCCGGTTTACCTGAAACGTTCAACGTCTGGTATTATTTTTTTCAAAGTTTGATCACTGAGCGTGCTCGGGAGCTCATCTCGAAGAAGGTATTTTCGATTATTAAGGAGTTGGAGAAGGATATCGGGGAAGTTTTAAAAGGTGATTTGAAGACGGAACGTGGCGAGACTGATCTTAGGTGGTACAGTTGGGTGGAGGAAACCGGTGATGTAAGTCGCACCGAAAACACACATATAGGTATTTCAGTTTCACTATAATAAGTTTGAAAAAAATTCAAAAACTTTTTTTAAGGTTTATCAATGAAGACTTTGGGTTTTTCACAAAACATTGTCACTTTATGTAGTAAACTAGACGGTAAATATCTAGAGTTGTTGGTAGATGTTTCGCAGTACCTGTATGGAAGAGAATACGAAGACGACATAATAATTTTAACACACTTGAAAAACAGGAGAAAATTTATAGATAGGGAAGAGTTGGAGAGTCATCTTAGGGTTGAAAGTACAAAAAATTCTACCACGTGAGTACAAACGCTATTTTAATTTGTGAGTGACGTAGTTTTTTTTTTAGGTTAACAGTATTCCTGCAGGATTTTCTTAAATCCGAAAGTAATCAAACTTTGTTAGTCGCTAGGTCATTAGTGTGCGCTAGGTTTTTACAAGCTATTACCACCTTGTGCCCTCATTTTAATAAATGTTGTACGTTTAATGGTACAACGGATGATTGGAGTAGGATTTGTAGCCATTTTACTCAGTCTAGTTTACAATTTTGGGACAAATGGGTTGATAAGTGTGCTCAAGAGACGGACAGGAGTGCAAAGAGACAATTTAGTGATGTTGGAGTTTGTTCAATGATTTCCATTCTTTTGGTAAGCGGTGTACGTGATGCTATTATGTAGCGAGCGTAGCGAGCATAATTATTATGATTATTAAGTAATTAGTGTAAATATACTCACCGTTTTTTCAGAGATGGGACACCATTGAGATCCAAGAACAAACCGAAGAGAAGGTTTTTAAATCCCAAATTAAAGTGCCATTAAAACCCAGCCTGCTCTTGCACCACCTTCTCAACAAACTCAACAATGACGTAAGCCACGTCCTGCCTCACACCCTCCCCAAGCAAATCCATGTTCAGTTCATTGAGAGAAACGTCGAACTGATCCTCGGCCAGTACAGAGGGTTGTTGGGGCGCGACCTCAACCAGAACCAAGCGCTGCAGTTCCTCTTCGACGTGAAATTCTTGACAACGTTCTGCATTCCGAGGGAAAACGTCCGTCTCGTTGCTCTTTCGCAAGAAATCTGTGATAAACTTCGGGGGAAAATCGACCCTTTCGACTTGGATGTGTTCTATTCGTACTTGCAGAATAACGTGAAGAGGGCGGTGCTGCAGAGTCAGGCCATTCTGGGTAAGACATAGCGACACTGGGGGTGTTTTAAAACTGTTTTCAAAATTTGTTACTATGACAGATGTCATTTAAATAACTACCAATTTTTGCCGGCCAATGGAATAGTAGTGTGATTTTAGGGTGTTTGTTGCCGTCTTCGGCTCAGTTGGCAAATCTGGGAGTCGGGGAGAAGTTTAAGGACCAAGAAAAGGATCCCTCAGTGTTGGCTTTGAGTGTACCTTCAATAGCATTTCCCTTGTTTTGTACTTTTGCGCACCAAATTCCATCGCAGAAGACTACGGCTGTGGCTAATGTGCAGGAAGTGGCTAAGGTTAGTTGCTTGTAGCCACTTTCGCTATTTTGTTGTTATTTCATTCTTATTATCGTTATCTTACTTTTTTAGTATGCGGAACGAGCATTTACCATTTGAGGGTAATATTGGGTGTTAGTTCACTAACTGTGTTGTATTTTTATTTTTAATGTGAACTAACAATAACTGTTGTGTTGATGAACCAGAGCACCAGAGTTGGCTGTGGTTTTAAAACTTTGGTTGGCAGTTCTGTTAATGTTGACATTGCGTGCTGTCAATTAATTATATGATATTCAGCAGTGTGTCTGTGTTAATTTTAACTGAACTGGCTAAAGCAGTTTTTAGTATATACCAATGCTCTTTAAATCTGTCTGCGTTATCCTGTGGAGGTTATGCTCATGCTATATTATAAATGTTAACTTGATTCGTGGCAAAAGTAAGCCACACAAACACAACATATTCTTAACGAAAATAGTTACTAAACTTTAAAATTTTTGTTCGTTTTGCTTCACGTCGATCCAACCAGGATTTATTGCTTGATTGTCAATGTAACGTTAGATGGAAATGTCATCAGTGTTTTTATTTTGTAGGTTTCTTCCCCTCGCCCCACAAAAAGTACTCCGAAGAAGTCTCAAGATCCCACCGCCGCTATCCGATCGAGTGCCGCCGCGTTGTTCGGGGGCCTAACGACGGACTGGTTCTCATAGCATCGTTGGACGCCCCCCCAACATTTTATTTCTTGTTATACGTCTCCACGTACAGCTTTTGTACTTGTAAATATGTATTTGTAAGCCTCAAAGAAAAAATAGACAAATCATGTTTAATAAATCTGATTTACTTTATTTTTAAACGTATGTATTATCACAGGCTTAAGTCAGATGAAATACTAAAATATAGTGTAAAAGTCGATTTTACATACAGAATATTAATCATGTTATTGCATAGGTCATAAATACTAACGCTAAGTCATATGGACATATATTCAATATCTTACACGTTAACTACCTCACAACCTAATTAACTTACTAGTAGAAGAAACGAAAATAAGAATGATCACTCGAATGCGGTGATGTTTACTTGATCGACATTGAGTAATAGCTCTAGACTACGCAATTTATCTAAGTAGTTTATTCTAGAAAATTAGAATTTCAATAAATAGACAGTCCCTTGTTACCGCTGGAAGCCGAGGAAGTCCGTCAGGCGGTCGTTCCAACTGTCTAGCCAATTGTAGAGGGGGCTGTGGGTGGGCACGGTTTTGGAGCTGGGCTGCATGGGCATGTACTCTTCACCTCGGATGCAGAAGTAGCTCTTGATGGGGCCCCGGCACATGGGGCAACGATCGAGCTTCACAAAGCAGCTCGCGCAAATGCAGGTATGCCTAACAAACGTTTTACAAAAAAAAATCGAAATTTTTCCAAAAAAATTACCTGCACGGCAATAAGGCCCTGGACAAAGGGAAATACTGGCAGACGACGCAGAGCTGCTCGCCTGAAGTGTTCCACAAAGCAGAGTCGTCGTTTGTGGGGCAGACCAGGGTGCGTCCCATCGGTCCCGGACCCCCTTCCACCGGTTCCGCCACTGCTAGAGGTATCTGGCCCTCTTCGTAGCCCCCAGGGTTGCCAGTAGCCAAATACAATTGCTACGAGTGATAATCCAACAGTCATAATAATAATAATAATAATAATAATAATAAGGACGTACCTTCAAACATGACAATTGGCCGTTGGCTTGCTTTAGGTACTGGGCCAAAATGCTGGTGGGCAGAGTACAAACCGAGTCCTTGATGTGGACTACGTTTATTAGGGCGACCTGAAATTAATCATTTATTCGTAATTAGTTAGGCTGGTTTAATGACGACTGTAATAAATTTTTCGAGAATGAAGGTCACTGCTGTCGTCAATTCAAAAAACTGGTAATCACTTTTTGTGTTTTTTTTTAATAAATTATAAAACAAAAAATCAACCTTTAATAGTTACATTGACGCGTTTATTAATGATATTGGTAAAAAACAGGTTAGAAATTTAAATTGAGTTTTATCATGTAATATCTTGCCGGCACGTGTTTAAAGTCGGAGTTTGGGAGTGTGGGTGTTCAGAATTTTTAAGTAAAAATGAGCCGTGTGTGATTTTATAAATTTACTTATTTTTGATATTTTTAATGAAAATTAACAAACAGAAAAAACATAAACAATATTAATTCTAGATTTTATAAATTTAACTTGAAGTAATTTCCACAATGAGCCTGACTCTTAAAATTGTAAAATCTGAAATACTGAATTCCTGATATTTTCAAGTCCAAGTCTATGAGACTAAATTTAAAGTTATAATTTCTGAATGTAATTGTGACATTTGAATCCCCATTTCTTCCATTACGAAATTCTGAACTTTATGAAAACCTAATTTAAATTTTTTTCAAATACCAATTTCCTATGTAGTAGATTGGAAGCCTCGGCCTTGAAATACTAAATTTTGATATTCCAAACCGCGATATCTAATTCTGAAGAAGTTCAAAGTAGTGAAATCTTGGATATTAGAACCTAGAATTTTTAAAAGTTAAGCTTTAAAATCGTCAGTATTAAAACTCCCTATTCTTAATTCTAGAGAACAAGAATTCTTGAAACCTAAGATAGAGTTTCTAGTTACTTCAATACCAAAGCCCTAAAAGTTCTAAATTTAACCTGACGTAACTCTACAGTGAAATCCTGCGTCATAAATTTGAAAGTCCTGAAATACTGAAATCCTGAAATTCTGAAGCCCAAATCTCGGAGACTAAATCTAAAGTTATGAATTTCTGGATGTAATTATGATATTTGAAGTATATTTCTTCTGTTTCTAAGATCCCGAACTTTATTAGAATTTAATTTTAATTTTTTTCAAGTCTCAGTTTCCTGTGTAGTAAGTCCGACTCTCTACTTTAACGTTTTCTCGACCTTTCATGACTCCTAGAGTACGAAAAAATAGGTCTCCCATTTTTATTAGATAGATAATCTCCGCAAGTATTGGGTCGATTGTTGTCAAATTTGGTATTTATATTAGGTATATCATGTAGATGGTAAACCGCTAACCAAAATTTATCTAATCATCCCCACCAATAACGTAATGACGTCACTTCAAAATTGTACACAGTAAATGGGTTTTAAATTGTATAAAATAACATAGTCCTACACATCTAGTTTATGACTCCGTTTTGACTTTACACACAAAACGTCCAGATTTTTGGAAAAAAAAATCAAAATTGTAAAACAACATTTTGCAATTTAATTTTGAATCTGCAATACCGAATGCTTTTAAATCTTGCAGTTGTTTTAAAGTTACGATAAGGATAATATATTTTTAATCAAAATATATTTGCTTATCCCCTCCAAAAAATGTATGACGAGTTCAAAATTTTGCCGAATAAATCCTACCTAAAATGTCCCAAATATGACGAGTACTTACTTGCCGAGATAAGACAGTCTTATCATAGCAAGTACTAGCCCCGCCCACCCCCCTTTATTTTCTCTGAGAGCATGTCATCTGCCAAAATCAGTCTTATCTTAACAAGTACTAGCCCCGCCCACCCGCGCTTTATTTTCTTAGAGAGTAGGTCATCTGCCAAAATCAGTTTTATTTTGGCAAGTACTAGTACCGCCCATCCGCCCTTTATTTACTAAGAGGGTATATCATTTGGCAAAATCAGTCTCATCTTAGAAAGTACTAGCCCTCTCGGAAAAAAAGGGCGGGTAGGCGGGGCTAGTGTTTGCCAATATAAGGCTGATAGTGCTAAATAACATACCCTCTAAGAAAATAAAGGTTGAGCGGGTGGAGCTAGTAGTTGACTGATTTTGGCAAATGACCTAGTCCCGAAGAAAATAAAGGGTGGGTGGGCGGGGGCAATGTTTGCTAAGATAAGACTGATTTTGGTAAATGATATACCCTCTACTCTTTATTTTCCCAGAGGGTATGTCATTTGGCAAACTCAGTCTTATCTTAGCAAGTAGGTGCTTCATTTCAAGTAATCGTCAAAGTGACTTTCAGCTGCAAGCTATATAGGAAATAAATTACTCAGACATGAATGATCCAAAGTTTGGTTAAAAATACCCTTAAATGGTTTTTGCACTTCCAGTTTTGCCAGAAACGAAAACAATTTCAAATTTTTAATTGGAATCTCTTTTATAAATTGTTTCAGCCATTACTTTACATATATACTATATAGATTAAGTAAATTCTTTTAAAAAAATATATGTAAAAAATTAAAATTCTTGAATTGTAAAAATTTGTATAAAATAAACTTGTAATAATTAAGATTTTCTTAAAACGTAAAAAGAAATTTTATTCAACAGTTCTATCCAATGACGTTTTTTCCAAATCTTTTGTTTGTCAACTCTTCGTCACAAATTAAAGTCTGACCTGTCCCACATACTATACATATTACAAAGGCGAACGAACAATACCACTGCAATATTGATTGCAACTATGTATGTATTTACCTCATTTGCACTATCTTCTAACGATTTGTTGCGAAATGCGCCTTTGAATATTTTTTTAATACACTAATTAGAAAATTGTAATTAACTTCAAACAACAACTTGTTTGTAATTATCTATATATAGCATAATCTGTTGTTAAGTACGTACACCTACTACCTATTAAATGTTATTAAGAAGCAAATAAAAATCTCTTGTTAGATTGTCAAGTCAAATATACCTCGTGCTCGTATTCTTTATACAAAAAATCATTTTGTGAAAAGAAGCAAGGGAATTAAAATCGAAAAAGATAACAACAAAATAAACAAAAATGAACACTTTGTTGTTTTATTGTGTACCACTAGATCTAAAATTAAACCTTTTAATTAAAAATAAATTATTAAAATTCTTACCGTCTCGTCTGGATGGATGTTATCCTCTGTGTCATTCCTGAACAAGAATATAACCAGAGGATAACACAACCTGGGCGGCGTCCCCAAATTCAGTGTCGTGGCAGGCAGCTTCAAAGTCACTGTTTGATCAGAATGTGGACTTTTCCTAGAAAACGAAGAGGCGAGCTTATTTTTCGTTCAAAAGCAATCGACGCATGTCTTACTTGACTTGCAATCCAGTATATTGGTAGAATCCACTCAGGAAATCTCCCCTTTTTACAGCATCCCTCAGGTCCGACCAAGGCCTCCACAGGAAAATGTGCAATTCGCGTATGTTCACACCCCAGAACGCCTGGATTTGATACTCTACTTGACTAGATAGACTGCACTGTACTTCTGAAAAAAAAAAACAAACAATGCAATGAACATTGTAAGTACGTTAAATTAAGACAGGTCGTGGTTGGTTTTAAAAAGCAAAAAAGGTAAAGGGGTCAAGGCTGCGGACAAATGAGTCAAGAACACTTTCACGGAGTGTGAATAAAGTAATCTTCCAGTAAACAAACGGACGATAATTGTTATTGTCTTGTTCCTATTATTAAGCTAAGGTGTAAAAATAGCCACAAACGGACCACTATTTATCGGGGACCGGCAAGCTTTGTGGTTGCCAGCTTTTTGTTGCCATTTTTGATAAAGTCAGTCGGCTTGGGAGCATTGTAAAAGCAGTTTCTGCTTCAGATCCGCAGGGGGTATATGTTTTCCCATAAATTCGAAGTGCCGGCTTTATTAAGTACTCCAAAGTGTCTACAGCAAGAGTTTATTGATCACTCAAAACAAAAGTAAAGCAGAATGAAACCTTGAATACTTCATTCTTACCCGATTTGGCTGCACAGCGTGCAATTACATGTTTTATTAATTGAGGTGGCTTTAATTTATGAAAATTCATGTGTACACGTGCAAAAAATTGATGACGTGATGTAAAACTGTGTCTTGGGAAAATAAAACCTGCAAAACCAAATCTTACAATTGTCTCAGTTAAAAAGTTAAAATAACGTAACGCAGACCCACATTTCTATCTCGTGTTAAGATTCTGTCAAAATCCAAACAAACTCTATTTCTTCATTGCCTAAACTATTGGGCAATTTTATACTTTTACTTTTCGTCAAATCTGACACCACGAGCCGATCTCAAATATGTTAACACTTCTTTCGGTTCTGAACAATCACGTATGGTTATGTAGGTCAGTTAGTACTAAAAGTGGATATTATACGAGATGCCACGTAATAATTGACCGCGAATATTTTATGACGTAACGACACTTTCGTTTCTTCGTGCTGAGCCTATCAATACCTATAAGAACCGCTATTCGCCGAAAAGAGGAAAAACGAAGGTTCCTTTTTTGCATACGAAGTCATGTTGACCTCGCGATTGTTCTCATCTCGTGACAAGAGATGTAACAGTTTATTTAACTGTAAACTAATATGTATTGTGTACTGCACGTACGTGAAATTACGTTTTTCTGTCCTTGTTGTTGCTTTGTGTTGAGATGGGAACGTGGTAGAAGAGTACATTTTCACTAAATAGAAAAGGTACTGATGTTGGATTTTGACTGTTTCTATTATTAGTATTTTTTTGAAGTAACATTTAAGCGTAATATTATTGTAACAAAGTGTTTAATTTTTTTTATTTAAGTTAGAAGTTTCCGAGAACGGCAATTTTTGGATGACGCAACAATGACAGTTTACATTTAGGTACTATTGCTCATTATCGTTGATCACAAGAGTGCAGTCATCGTTGTCGTGCTTCTTCATCTCTTTCAGTTTCTCGATGATCGGTTCTTTGGTATCGTCATAATCCTGACTATTTGGTACTCTGTAGGTTGGTATGCTGGCATCACAGTACTTCGTCTTGATTTGAGTGTCCTCTTTGCGTCTGTGACCAAAACTAAGCATGTTGGTGCTTGACGTGTCTTTCGATGTTCAAACGTAGAGTGAACCTTCCGAGAAGTCAAATCAGGTTTGGGTTGTTGCGGAATGGGGCTTTATAACTTGAAGTTGTCACCGTAAGAAATGTCCACGTCCAAATTCGAGGGTTTTAGCTCATCAGGTTTCTTAAAATCGATGTCGTTTAGCTTGAACTTGGTGGGTTGGTCAGATTTAGAAGTTCTTTAATTTTTCGAAGTTATGGCTGATCAGTGATCATGGACCCCCCTCACAGCTGGTACCTCTGGAAGCATTCTTCCACATCTGGGGATTCTTGAGGAAGGAGAGAGGGAATAGTAACGGGTTTAACGAGAGGCCCAGCCAACCGGTAAATCCCGGGAAACTGTTTCTATACAACGTCGTATACCAAGCAGCTGTATTTACTTTCGGTGGCGACTTTAAAAGCTGTTGAGCGAAAACTTCTCTCATTGTTAACGGATTTGGTGGTACCTTTTTGGACAAGTCCTCTAGTATCACTTCATTCTTTTTTCTCTCTTCGCATTTCTTCTTGCTCAAATCCATTGGTTCGTCCTCTTGTTCCTCGTCGTCGTCCGACTGATTATTATCGTAACTCGTGTCTTTCAGTTCTTCCAAGTTCTTTACGTGGATCTTGGATGGAGGATGTGGAGTGGACACGTTGGACGGTTTCGGAGAAAAATTGTATGCGCATAGGTACGGAGAAAGCTCGTTCTGCAATCTATGGTCTTTGAGGGATTTCAGATTCTCACTACGGATAACATCACTAATATTCGAGAATATTTTAGGTGGTTCTTTGAGGGGTACGTTGAGGGTTTCTTTCAGCAAGTTTGGAATCAAAGGGATCACTTCTGGTTTCGCAAACTCTGATAGTTTCGGCGTGACGCAGATCTTCTCACCTTCAGGGTGCACCAGTCCCTCTTCGTTCTCCTCGCTAGCAGCACCCACTTCCGGCTCTTCTCCCTCACGCTTGAAGTACTCTTTAAATTGTTGTTGGGACGCGTTGTCCAGAAGCCTGGACACCGGCACCAAATCCTGGTTCTCCTCGTTCTTCACTTTATTCTCGCTCTTCATCTGTGTGGCATGCAACTCCCTCAGTTTCTCTTCCAAAATCCTACTCCTCTCGAACCCTTCGAATCTTTGGTTACTCCCATCAGTCTTCTCAATCTTGTCTGCATTCTCGTCGATCACAAGAGCGCAGTCGTCATCGTCATCCTTCTTCAACTCCTGATTCACCCTCAGATGTTGCGCCAAAATAGTAAACTTCAGTTTCTCATCGATCGGTTCTTTGGTATCGTCAAAATCCTGACTCTTTGGTACTTCGTAGTTTGGTATGCTGAGATCACAGTAGTTCGGCTTGATTTGGCTCTTCCTACCTGGATTACCCAAGTGTCCTCTTTGCCTCTGCGACCAGAACTGAGGATGTTGTTGCTTGATGTGTCTTTCCATGTAGGAACGTAGAGTAAACCTCGCCGAGCAATGCTCGCAAGTGAACGGACGTTCGGTTCTGTATTTCCGCTGTTTATGTTTCGGCATCAGAACGCCGTTTTTTATCACCATTTTGACGGAATTGGGTGATTGCGTTAAATCGGGTTTGGGTTGTGGCGGAATGGGGCTATGCAGCTTGAAATTGTCACCGTAAGAAATGTCCACGTTCAAACTTAACGGTTTTAACTCATCGGGTTTCTTCAAATCTTCTTTGATGTCATTTAGTTTGAAGTTGTTGAACGGTGGGTTGGCTGGATTTTGGAAGTTCTTCAATCTTTCGAAGTTATCGCTGATCATGGATCCTCCGCACAGCTGGAACCTCTGGAAGCGTTCTTTCATATCTTGGGATTCTTGAGGAAGGAGAGGGGCTTGGAGCGACGGGAACAGTAATGGGTTTAAAGGGAGACCCGGCCACCCGGTAAAGCCCGGGAAGCTGTTCCTGTACAACATCGCATACCAAGCAGCCGCATCTATTTTCGGTGGCGACTTTAAAAGCTGATGGGCGAAAATTTCTCTCATTGTTAACGGATTTGGTGGTACCTTTTTGGACGAGTCACTTCATTCTTTTTTCTCTCTTCGCATTTCTTCTTGCTCAAATCCATCAGTTCGTCCTCTTGTTCCTCGTCGTCTGACTGATTATCGTAACTCGTGTCTTTCAGTTCTTCCAAGTTCTTTACGTGGATCTTGGATGGAGGATGTGGAGTGGACACGTTGGACAATTTCGGAGAAAAATTGTATGCGGGTAGGTATGGAGAAAGCTCGTTCTGCAATCTATGGTCTTTGAGGGATTTCAGATTCTCACTGCGGATAATATCACTGATATTCGAGAATAGGTGGTTCTTTGGGGGTACGTTGAGGATTTCTTTCAGCAAGTTTGGAATGAAAGGGTCATTTCTGGTTTCACGAACTCTGCCAGTTTCGGCGTGACGCAAATCTTCTCATCCTCAGGGTACACTTTCCTTTGATGAGTTCTTAATTCGTTGGATTTTCAGACGGGTAATAAATTGCTGCCTTTTTTTACTTCCTCTCGCGTGGTTTTGGCGTGTGTCTTACGCATTTGGTTTTGATGGTAAAGACTTCGGAGCATTCGTAAGGATGATTCCCGTTATGAAAGCTCCCTAATCGATGGACGAGTGCGGATACATGTAGTACCTGTACAACAACGGCATGTTGTGACCGTTAAAGTGTGCTAGATTGTGACCCTCAGTTTCGCGGGAATTCTCTCAGCTTTATCTTGCGGTGCCCTAAGGCAAGTACATGTTGAGATTCTTCTTTCCTTTTTGGTACGACCGTTGTCGTCCAGATTAGATTTTGGGTTAAAGTCGCTCTTGACCGGAATTGAACATCGGCCAAATCTTTAGTTGTGTCACTGACCACGACTTTGGAGCCAAAACTACTACCTGAGTTTCTTCGACGTTTCGTCCATTTGAAAGCTGTTACAAGGAAAAACTTTTGTGTTTTCGAAGAGTTGCTTCCATTGATTGGGTTCACTTGTCAGAATAATTCGAGTTTATCTTCCAAATAGGTTTTCATTTTATTTGACCAGGAAATTTGATTAATTTAAAATTAAATGAATATGTCGAACGATAAAACGCTCTACCGGTTTCCAAACTTACAATAATTACGTATTCAATCTCCCGAAACCTTGAGGCGTCGATTCCTCCGTCATTTCCTTTTAAATCAACCGTGATAATAACCAAAACAATTAAGATAAAAAGCTCCTTCTTTCTTCGGCTACGTGCTGGTAGCCACATGATACGGAAGAAAAAAAAAACGCCCGATTAGTTCGCCGATTACCATAATATCCTTATTTGTAATTATAAATCGTTATGTATGTACAACAATAAAAAAATACATCAAGGTCGATCGATTCTTCGACTTCTTTATGGGTGGTATGTCTGCATGGACTTTTGCACGTAGATGTTCGAGAAGCCGTTTCAGGCCGTTTGCCAT